ATGAAAATGCAAGAACAATGGAGTCTGAGTCATTTCGAGACAATTGGTGGATATTTCGCAAATGAAGCATTTACTTTATGATTGTTAGATTTTATTAACAAGTTCTGTAATTTTGTGTTAAACACATTCGATTGTCCCCACCCGTGTTCTGTTCACTAAAGTGGTACTTATGTAAACTGATGAAAATAGAGAAAAAAATTACTGACTATCATTATTGTGAATAAATCTTGATCTGAGTAGTGAATAGTAAGATAATATCATGACTTATACAATTAAATGATCAATATAGAATTTGATATTTTATTTAAAACTTATATGATGAATGTATTTTTAAAGATAAGAAAGTTTAATGTCTAACAGGATAGAAAAAAAAACTAACACTATTGGCTAAATTCCTTCAATAATCATTTTGCATATGAAAAGCTGAATTAGGAGAATTATGATATTATAAATTATATTTTCTATAAGAAGGTTTTAAAAGTGGGTTGTCTAGTCTATTCAAATATGTTTACGACGATTAACTGTTGTATATTTTAAGTAAAGGGTTATAACTAATAATTTAGCATCTAGCTTAACTTGGCTTTTTATGTTGTAGATTTCTTGGGCTAGATTTTACATGTCGACTTTTTTTGTCACAGTAATCCTCACATAAGAAAATCGACATCTTATAGTTCATAATCAAGTACTTCAAATATTATGGTAGGTTAAACAAGTATTTGATTATTTTAGCTAGAATTAACTGGAGGTTGAACGTATATAATCAGTTCGTCACTATCTACTATGAGATAACTTATATTTCAGTTCAGCTAGCCTTTGTTAGTTCATCATGTCTATTTAAATCTGAAACCAGACAATATTTAAATCCGTTAGTTCAAAGACTTTCAGGTGTCATTCATAACGGAATTCGGCTTTAGTCATACTACAGCTTCTAATTCATTTATCATTAAAGATGAAAAAGACAATGAGAGCACTGATTATTCTGGCAGAATACGATAGAACGACACTCTATGGGTTACAATTTTATTCGTTAAATAAATGCCCCAACTGCATACATTCGTTGGCATGTTTATAAGACTTCTAAGACAATAATTATGTGCGTGAGCTTCGCTTTTGTGAATAACCCCATTCTAATTTCTCCTTGTCATTCAGCCTTTCATACAACTAAAAAACTAGCATTATAAATTAACATGATTTATAACAAACACTCCACACACTATTTTTTTCGATGAATTTATATTCTCTGGGCTAAACTGTTTATTCATAAAGTTCACATTGTTTTTCCAATCAGTATAATCAGAGGAAAGTTTAAACGGAAATGAGCTATCACAATTTATCTACTAGTGACTGATATCTATTACTGCCAAAATTGTATTCGTTATTATTACTTATTATCCATAGCTAGAATGTATTTCGAACTAGTACTCTTATTGGTTTGTCAAGGACATGAGTAGAATGATATTGAGTCTAAACATTTTAGACATAGTTAGGCTTAAATTTGTCAACAAGGGAAGGTTTATTAAGTAACTTTCGTTTAATGCTCTTTGGTTCTGCATTTCAGTAAAGGTGCAAAAATGATAGTTTTAAGTATTAAAAGTACATTGTACAGCAGGTTAATTTAGCATTTACTTACAACCATAATTTTTATTGAGCTAATCAGTAAAGTTAAATTTTGTAGTTTATTACGATATAATAAAATCATTTGGTAAAGAGATAGCCTCTGATGCAGATTGGTACAAGCTGAATAATATTCAGTAATTCGAAGAAATTAATAAAATTTGAGACCCTTAACAAGTGTACATTCATAATCCTAGGGAAAAACAAATGTAAAGCCTTTAGTTTTCACCTTAATCATGAGTCACTGGACATAACTCTAATGACCTGGATGATGTAACTCAACGAGTTATGTCTCCTTTAACTCTAAGCCTTCCAAGTCGTAGCTAGCCTATTAAAGTTTATTATCATGTGAATGTTTTTTTCAAAGAAGTATGCTAACATTACTGTGTTGTAACTGCAGCGAAGTTTTTGATACCAATCACTTTGTGGATGTGTCGCTCAATTTCGTGGATTGTTTGATGTTAGACATTAACACCGTAGGATGTCGGGTCAGTGGTCTGGAGGTTAAGCGCTTGCACGCGAGAGTGATAGGTCTTGGGCTCAAATCTCTCAAGGTGGGGTTGTGAATGCGCACTGCTGAGGAGTCCCACAATAGGACGAAACGGCCGTTCAGTGCTTCCAGGTTTTTCATGGTTGTCTAGCTTCAATTGACTCAATTACTGAAATTACCATACTATCCAAAAAACCCCTTCTGATAAAAAATAAATAAGTCATTCTGATTGATTGTTCAATTGTGGCATTTCGCAATTTGTTGTTGATTTTTAAATAAAATCAGATAAATTACTAAAGAATAAACTTGTTTTAGATCCAAAAGTTAGACAAGTTTTTTAACATCAGTCATCATCTACATTATACACATGTCAATTTTACTAGGTGATCATTTCGCCAGTTTAGCTTCAAGTAGATAATGGGAGAAAAAATACTTTCAAGTAAACATGACAAATTAAAAACAAGTGATATAAAAGTGTATGATTACAAGTAGTGTGATGATAAGGAACAACACCTCATTGGTTCTTAATGAACTTCATTTTAATGTTTGACTAACTTTTTTTGTACAGTCACCTTGGTTATATCAACCATATGCCGGTAGAAGTCTTTGTTTTTTTATTAATATCGGTATCTTCGTCTTTTTGTGAACAATACTGTTTTGAGAACTTTGCGACCTGTCAAAGTCTAATTTTTTCAGAGAGAAATATTACTCTTCTATAGATCGATAATGCATGGTGAATGAAATGAAGAATTTTTATATGAAAGGAAAGATGTTAACCAAAGTTTAGCTAAAATGCGCTTCTATATGGATTTGTAAGATAAGGAGAGAGATTGTAAAAACTTCTTTTGAGTACAAAGGTTAGGTTTGTGGATAAAGAATTCAACAGCTTATGCAGTATGCAAAAGACGACCACGTGGACTATGTGGTAAACTTGATGGAATACGATGGACAACCTTAAAAGCTTTATTATGGTAAATTTAAGTCCTGTCTCCACCAAGTGATAATTTTTACCTTTCCTTTGCTCAGCTAAGATGAAAAGGTCATTTTCAAACAGATCAGTGCGCGTACCTGTTAATATATATATTTTTTGAAGTAACATTCATAAGTTGTTTTGAATACTATGATTTACCAAATAGTGGTCAGTATCAAAGTTCTATCTTCAGACAAGTTGATTCGTAGCTGTAAAGGTCATTTTAAATAATCATGGCCTTATCACATGATGTACAATTATTTTTTAGTTCTAAAAAAGTTTAAACTGTTTTGGTTAGCACTTAGAGATCGTTTGCTTTAAGGAATTTGTTACTACATGACATTTATCAAAATGTGTAACTACAACTTGTGTAGTTATATTTTTCTGAGTATAATCAAGGTGAAACCTAACTAGTTTATAGTAACATGCTCTCATTAAAGCTAAATTGTAATAGGTGTACACTGTCTAATATTCTCGAACTATAATGAAATAAATGGTTAGAATAATTCAATTTTTAATCAGTTTTAGCTACTGTTATCATTTCAGCGGTTACTTTCTTCCTATATAAGTAAAGAATCATCGTTTTATAAAATAATACAACAGAAAAAGGAATATTTCTGATTATTTTAGGTTCTAATACGTCCAAAATACCGTTTTATTAAAAGTTCATGCAGTATTACCTGGTACTTTTCTGTAGTTAATCATTAGTTAAATATTATATTGAAATGTATATTGTAAAACGTTTCATGGAATGTGTTTCTGTTGTTCTTATTATCACAATGTCAAGTGAAATCATGACACAACTTTAAGCCTCCATTAACTGATACATTTTCACCATTGAATCTAATCTAAGAAAAAGAAGCGTTTAAATTTAGAAATGATGTTTAGATAGAAGCTGTAATTGTAAAATTTCCTGACTTTTAAAAGATTCAAAATATATTTCTATTTAAATAGTTTAGCTGTGGTTTCATTGAGTCGCTGTGTGAAATGGTTATTTACCTTAGTGTATATTAGATAGAATAATTGGTTTAGATGGGTCTAAGTATATAAACTTAAGTAGTATTAATTTTAGTTGTATATTTCAAGTTTATGTTAGTCATATTTGGTTGGATTAACTACAGATCATGATAAATTCATAATTTAATACAGTGAATTTGTTAGAATGCACAATGAATTTGATAATTGATACTTTTAAACAACTATTGAAAATCTTTATTCCAAAAGCTAAAGTAATGTTTTCATCTGATTCAGATACTTAGAATATACCATCTAATGATGTAATTGAAGGAACTCTCAATGGCTGCATTTTTTTTCTTAAAATATTTTGTGCGAATTAATCTTTTCGTTTTCATTGGTGATTTGCTTTTACGGTTGTATATTTCACTTTTAGGACTCGGTAGCTAAGTGGATAACGCGATGGCGTTTGAAGCGAACGGTGTTGTGTTTGAGTCTCAGAGTGAACACTAACTCTGAGATGCAGGTACATCCAGCTGACGAGTCCCAAATAGGAGGGAACACACGTCCTGGATTCCACTTCTAGCCACTATATTTCACTTTCCTAATGTATAATATCACTGATGAATTAAGTTTTGAAGTATGTTGCTAATAACTGTTAGAGATTATTAGAGTAGATAATAGCATATTCCTTTTGCTCATATCCTAATTGACATGTTACTTCAAGAAGTCATTTATTTATATTTATACTGTGAAGTGAGAATTTAAAACCTAGATTCACAGATTGTTCCTTCAGTTATCAAAGATAACTGAGTTAGAGTAGTCAAAACAGGAAATTTTAATACTGAACAGCAATAAAAAGTTTGGCGGATGATTTTTTCGAATAGAAGTTTTTTCACTGACTCTTAACTGGATAATAAGAGTACATAATAGTCTGGAATTTATTCATATTTTTTTAGATTATAGCATAAAATGACAAGAACGAATTTATTCACATTTGGTGTCCTCAAGATTATATTCTATATTGGGTTATTATGTGGATGTATATTGAATGAAACAGTAACAGATAAAACAATTTACAATTATGAAATACCAATCAAATCAAGAGTATCTCATCGACAGAAGCAGTTGCTAAAGTCAATCCATTTGCCAGAGATTAGTTTTGAAGTTTATGGAGAATTTCCAACAATTAAGCACTTTGATTTATTTGAAGATGAGATAACTTCCAAATATAAAAAAATGTCACGATTTGTAAATTTACGAGAAAAGCGTGACTTACAAAACTCAGAGGAAACTTTTTTAAGTGGTAAGACATATTATTTTTTTGGAAAAATAACTGTGTTTTAGGACTGCTGTGATACCTATACTAGATAATCTAGCCTAAACACCCTTTATGTAATCTTCCGTAACTCATCTACGATTTGTTTTGGTCTAAGTGAAGTTCAAACTGATTTAGTGAATATAGGCGTATACAAATACAGTTCTAAGCTTAGAAATCATGATCGATTGTGTTCGATCTTTTAGTGAGAAATGATTTCGAATTTTTACAGGTGCTTACCTATATAAGTTGTACTGACTTCAGCGACCGACCTATATGCTTGAATAGGAAGATAGTCCAATGTTCTTCTAAACAAGTAAACTGTTAATCATAGCTGATCGTACCATGTATACTTTAAAAGACTGATATTGGTCGCATTCACTGTAACAGTACCCTTGATATAATATTGTGGTGGTCGGTATTCGATATATCCCTTAAACTTCGTATACAATTCGTCTTGATAACCGTCCTATTTAACCCCAACGGCATATTATTCAGAAGGCGAATACGAAGCGTTGATTACGTTTATTTCGAGACCACACACACAGATGTCCAAAATTACAGATGCATTAAACGAGCATTAAGAGTTGTGTCGAACGGCAAACAGGCAAGCGAGCGACTGAGCGAATGCAAGTGATCGAGTACAATCAAGCGAGCGAGAAAGCAGAGTCAACCATATGAATAACGTGGACATATATATAGCATGTGAAATTAATGAATAATCGAATCAAATAAGCGGTTAGTAGTGAGACTAGCAGAGTGACATAAATGCGTAGGCCGTAAGCAATATTCAAGCATGCGTATTTCATACAAGCACAAAATAATAATAAGGGTACAATAAATTGTTATAGTGCGGATGGCTTTGTCCGCTAAATAAGTTAGCAAAAGGGCTTAACTGAGTTAAATGAGAATAAACCCATTTGCACGTGAGTCGCTATAATATTATTTATGCAAACATCCCAACTATAACAGTGATTGACTAACTTGTCATTTAATCTTTATGTATGCGATAAGGGTAATAAATAATTCTTCCATTAAATAGAAAGACATTTAACAGTATTATGGATTGAGATAAGACACTTGGAACATGGACCTGAATAAATAAATCTTCGTGAATGTATATCTGATCAAGATGTTCTTTGTATGCATGTCTATAAAATAGTTTAAACTATTTTGATGTAGCTTCACTTTCATAGTCCTTTTTGATAAATATTATAGCTATTCAGTAGGCAAGTTAATATATCACTGATATTAGATCAATATAACTGAAATATTACCATCATTCTGATGCTTTCGGTTTGTCTTTTTAGATAAACATTCAGTTTTGATTAAAAGTAGAATTCATTCTCCATTGAAGAATTGGGATGATAAATTAACTGATCCACAATCTAAAATATACAAACTGTTATCAACTAGTTATTGTGAATTTGTAAGTAATATGTATCATATCTGAATAAAAAAATGGTTTTAAAATATTTTGTTTACTTAATAACTAGATAAGAAATTTAATTATTTCTTATGATAAAAGTTATAAAATAATTATGAATTACGAATATTCTATGTAGTCATAATGAACAGAGTAAGTACACATTTTGTTAGTAAGAAAAGCTGTGAAATGTTTAGAGAAAATTAAATGAAAAACATCAAAATCGTACATCATGTTATCGAATTGCGATAGTTTTCTGTATCTGACTTAAGTCCATTTGAATCTTATGATTTTAGGGAAAGATTGATTGCTACGAATATATGACAATATCTTCCACACATACGTCTTAAGTTAATAATTCTAATTAACAAACTGTTATAACTTGTGAACCTGTGTGCCCTGTTTATTGTATAACGCCAATCAGAGAGCAGCGAATTATCGACCGAACCAGTGACGCATAAAACACGTGCGAGCAACCTAGAGTTCGGATTAGTCTCGCGTCCTGTCTACCCCAGCCAGTTAAGTCCAGAACACCAATCTCAGCCTCTGCAATATGAATCATTTATTTCAAACATACTCGGTTTATATATCAACCAGACAGACCACAACGTACCATAAAATATGACACAACATTTGTACAGGAATTAGCCAAAAGTGGCTGTGAATGAGGGAGATAGTAATTAATAGACAGGCCATAACTCAAGAATGATAAATCGTATAGTAATAGTCTATGGGTCAAATTAAAGCTTATAATAAGAGCGACATGAATATGAACAGTTTAGTTGCATAACAATTATATGATAAAAATATACGTTTAGTATTGGTCCATAAATGGATCCCAAAAATTACCATTCATTATTCTTATCGGGATATAACACAAACTGTATAACTGTATCCGTACTACAGTTCACTCAGAAGATAGTTAATGTTGAATTAAAGTATTTAATAATAAATTCACTTAATTACTGCGTATAACACAGATATTAGTGTTAGGTATTAATGGAGACTGACATATTTACTGGCTTCACTTTTTAAGATTGTCTTATAAAAAAACATTCGACAAACAAATTTCATCATTTCAATTATGTTTTACTACGTAACTTATTTGTTTCCACAAAAGTTGTTTAATAATATTCAATCATTTTTATTAACTTAGGTTTAGTCTACGATGGTTTTATTCAATTTTCAATTATTATTTTTTTGTTTAAAAAAATAGTTACTACAAAGTTTTCGGCATGCGAATACAAGTCAATTTAAACAACCAAAATGTACGTTTATAGAATTCACAAAAGGTTCTATTATACTCAACGCAATACTAACATTTAACGAAGCGAATTATTCACTATTATCTTCACAAGATCTATCAAATTTATTGATAAAAGGCAGTGAAGAATTAATCAATTCCATAATTAATGATAAAAATTTTTCTCTAGGATTTAATTTTAATGGAGATTTTTCACTCAGATGTAAGTTTTCTTTGTATTTAATATAAGTGAATACTAAATGGATAGAAAAAACTGTTACTATCGACATATAGAATAAAAAAATACTACTTAACTAATAATTTACTTGTATTCCATATACTTGATAAAATGTTTTTCTGTTGAATTTATTTGAATAGGCAGTGTAATAGCAAAAGATTAGTTGTAAGGGGATACAGAAATTAAACAAAATATGGTAATACAAATGAATTTATACTCTATTAATACATGGATCACAGTTATTCTTCTTATTCAGCACTAACAATATAAATTTAATACTACAATCAGTTATTTCAGTCCCAATGATAATATTGTAAGAAACCTATGTTAATATTGTTCAGAAGACAAACAGACTGGCTGATATTTTAGAAGTGAAGACAATATTCTTTTCGGATTCTTTTTAATCACATGACATATAAGAATGATCAAACGGTATCAACTTTAGCATTTTCTTCTGAAGTCAAGAATAATTTATTATTATCATACCACACAGTTATTGTGGAGATTGCTGATTAAATGTCATCAGATACTTTGGTAGATTTAGGGCAAATGATTTTGAAGTATTAATGTCTTATCCCTTGACTGAAATAAAAGTTTTGTTACTGTATTAAGTTTAAATCTGTTCTAAGAATAAACGGACTCCAATTATGTATATTATTTAATGTATTTTGAGGCAATTCGCATCATACAGTTGTTAAATAGTAAGAAACCTAATGTTGTCTAATTACCGCGGCTTACTGAAAGATACTAATCAAGTTAGTGATGTAGTCCCCACCGTAAACTAGTTTAATTTTAGTTGGTTGGAAACAATAAATGATCTTGTAAATGTTGATGGAACTTGGCGTCTGACTCTTCTAACTTCGATGGATAACTCTGTAAACAAGATAGCACGTTTGTCAAGTACAAACGTTTCTATTTGTCAGTCAACGTTTTCGTTAACATCTGACGGAAGAACAAATGAATATTTTCTAATCATAGCCTTTACAATTTTAGTTACAGTTAAAGATCAGTGGAATAATCACATGCCCTCTTTATGACATTTTTAATTAGAAGTACCTGACATAAAAGGTGATGCGAGTTAGGATACATTTGCGTTACTGGATTGGGTATCGTCAGTAAATCTCCTGTGAGAATCCCAAGCAGGCCTCGACTGTTAGTTGAGAGTCTGAAGAATGGTACAAATTTAGAAAGCAGTGTTGAAGTTGCGATATGGTTTGTGATAACCATTAAATTTACAGCTAGGGCCAAAATTTGATAATGAAATAAATTCTCCTTATTACTTTGTTTGTCCCATCAAAATCAACCACATCCAGGAAACACGTAGTCAAATTAATTTGATCGGTAGTGATGAAGAAAATTGCTTCAGATTATTATCTTCAGTCATCTGATACGCGCAAAACTCATCCTTTCAGTTCTCCGTAATCCCCTACATTTCATAAATATAAGTGTACATATTTCTAACTTTGGAGATTAGTCTTTGAGAACATATTGAAGACATATTACGGATTTGACTGGTATACAAAGTGTACAACTTTAAAAGCTTCCACCTCTGGAATAAACGGAGGTTGGACAATTTCAAATTTTGCGTCAGTTAATATCCGGATTCATGTGTTGTTGTCGTAGATTGGGAAGTTCCATTAATGATTGTGATATTGAAGGGATTAGACAAGAGAAGACGAAAATATTTTTAAAATGGGATGAAAAACGTTTTTTATGAAAAAAATACAGAAATCACTGGGACATATATACCATTCCAACTGTTATAAAGAAGACTTGGATCTAGATTTCATACTAGATAACGTACTCCTTGCCTTAATAATGTCAGAACCTAAAAGAGACATTAGCAAAGATGGTTGATTTCATAGTTGACTCAAAAATTAGTAACAAAAGGTGATTTTTTCGTTTGTTCAAGTGAATAGTAAGTATTACGAAATGCGAAACGCTGATAATGACACTGTTATCTGTCTAAAGAAATTTCGTCCATCTAAGCTTTGAATATTTTTTGAATCCATATTTATAACCAAGTAAATATAACTAAGTTATGGATACTAGATAACCAAATTCATATATTAAGAGAGCATTTGGTCAATAATATGCTGGATGAAGTCTTACTGGGCAATTAGATACTAAGAATCATTTAACCAGTCAAGCATAAAAATGTTTATGAAAGAAAATGAGATTAAATGGATGTAACCATGACCAGTGAGAAGAAATCGAATGTTTTAAAAAATATTCAGCGCACGGCTAAGATGATTTATTACGTTCAAAAGTTTCTTTGTGTAATCGTAACCAATGTTATAATTAGTACGACTGAATAATTGGGAAATATTTCTTTATTTCATTTGTTCTCTATATGAAAGGATATAAAAATAATTATTAGTCATTAATATTTACTTAATTTATTGTTTAAATAAATTTAGTGACTGAGATAAAGGAAGAAAGTACTGTATTACTTCCAACATCACAACCGCTATCATCATCATCATCATCATCATCACCACTTTCGATCACGACGATGACGACAACAATAACGATGGCTGACGCAAATGAAATGTACTCATACATGAGGAGTTCTATGGATGAAATTCAATCAAGTGGTATGTTTACATAATCTTATTACAATATCACTGGTAGTTAGAAATATGTGAATTAACTTTCATCTATTTGATTAAAAAAAATATACCCATTAAATCATAAAAGAATTTATTCAGCAAAGGTATCCTTTATAACGAGTTCTTTCTCAATGCTGTACAACCGTGTATATGTAATAAATTCTAAGCCAATGAGTAGTGGCATATCTCTCGGAATTTGATTAGGTATATTGTGAAATTAACCTACATCACTTGAATGGAGGAACTTGATGAAACTTGTTTGATATCTATTCAGCTTATCATTTTACGTTCAACCATACTACTTTTAAATAGTAAGTAGTTCGAGTAATTGCTACCATTTTTAATGCTTGTTAACTGGGTGATTTCTGATTCTCGTCAAGGCTAAAGAAAAATTACCACATTGAAGGGTTTATTAATATCTGTGTAAAAACTTACGGTTTATTGGGGAATGGTAGAGAACTAATGAAATTAACCTATTATTTACAAGCATGCCTAACTTAACTTTTCAAGTACTTATCAGTGAACATTTTAGGATCCTTTTAAAACGGTCTTTGAATGAATACAAATTATTGATTGATTTCTTTATGTTTATGTATGCTATGTCTTTTAGTTACTGACTTCCTAATTTGTCCGTTCTTTGCAAGAAGAAGTACAATGTAAGATAATATGTAAAGAGCATTTCAATTTTCTTCATCTTACCTAGCTTCATTTATAAAATCTTGCTTCAATACTTTTTCATCATTAACATAGCCAACTAGATATTCGCACCAGGATAAAACTTGATAGTGAGACACGAGTTCGACGGAAACTACACGACTTTGAGGCATTTTCATTCAGTGAGAAATTTTGTTGGTATATCAGATTAAATTGTTTATCCAGAAAGTATACTTATTTTATATCTTTACAAAACAATCAAATGAGAACCGGAAAACACTAGGCAGCTGTCTTGTCCCAGTGTTTGACTCTCCAACAGCCCACGTTCACGATCCCTCACACAAGACTATAACCTGGGAACATCAAACTCGCTCAAAACCTTAGCCTTCAGGCTACTGAGTCGGTAACTGACGGTGTTAATGCCGAACTATAATCGATCCATGATTTTGCACAACCCTTCATCGATTGTCTTCGGTGGGTAACTGACTCACATTCGACACGGATTAGACTCCACTGGTCATGGTTTCTCAATAGAACTCCGGAAAATCCACTTTGAAGCTAGTCACGAATAAGCACATGATTACTATCAGAATGTGGATTTGTGTATTGGAGTATTATCCATGTTGGGTGAAGACAGTTATCTACCTAAGACAATGGATGAAGAGCTGTGCAAGATCGTGAGTCGTTTGAGGTTAGACATTAACACCGTTGGATGCCGGCTCAATGGTATAGAGGTTAAGTGTTTGCATGCAAGGTCAGAGGTCCCAGATTAAATTTCCGCGTGCGGGATCGTGGACACTTCTAAGGAGTCTCATACTAGGACGAAATGGTCGTTCAGTACTCTCGGGTTTTCAGTGGTGGTCTAGCTTAGATCGAAAAATGAGTTGAACCATTAAAATTATTATTCTCCACAAATCCCTAATCTGATTACAATCAAATAAATTTTCGTTAGTACCACATCAATGTCTGGTTTGTCCTGCATCTTAAGATCATTTGTAAATATATGAAATGAAGAATACTTCAATGATCATAAAAATTCGGTACGTTGGGTAAAACTGTTTGATGATTTTAAATTGAAAGATAAATTAATTATTAGAATACATTCACAGATCGTTTCGTTACATCAACGTTATTATTATCTGACCAGTTAATTATTCTTTTTATTCAGATGATCAATGTGAATACATAGTAGTCAAATTACTAATAAGTTGATATAGGAATTATTTATTCATTGTTTATTAAAAGTTATCTGTATTTTATTTTGATTTATATTTGATAAATCAAACCTATAAATTGAATGAGAAATTTTATTCAAAGGAAAACAATAATATTTATGTTTCAATTTATTTCAGTGAATTTTAGCAGTGATTTTATGGATACAGAACAATCATTGGCATCAACAATATCTTATGGTGAAACCATAGATACAACAACATATAGTGTAGGTAGGTTCATAAAATATTACTATTTATATGTTCCTATGAGTGTTATATTGAGGTCTGGTAAGGTTATTTTACTTATTTATGTTTACTTTGATAATACACATTGTCAATATTAATGTAAGATGTGGTGTAAAAGATTAATAACTTTCATGGTGCTAGAATCAGCTGTTAAATTGCTATTGTGTTAGAAATAAGACAATGCGCTAGGGGTTCGATCATTTTGTCGTCCATCAGAATGATTCATCAGGAACTTCGCATTTTTTTCTTGAAATTCAAGTTCTGTTGGTTGCAAAAATATATCGTCTCAAAATGGTTTGATTGCTAAAACGTTTTGGCCATATTCATAACTAGTTAACAGGACAATTAAACTATATTCACACGACTTGGTCTTCTATTAGAGCAGTATTGTGATTTCTTTGCAAGCGAAACTGTTAGTCATAATCCAATTATTTATTGAATGTCCCACAACACCTTAGAAACATGAACTAAAAAGCTGTACTGTAGTGAACATATCACATACAATTACAGAGTTACTCAGTAAAATAGAAAAACCAAATAGTAAGTCGTTAATTTGCAAAATATTATTCCATCATATCAAACCAGACTGTTGCTGTTGCAATCATCAGTCCATTGTCTCACATTTCATTGTTCATGCGTTTTCTTACAAATTGCATTGTGCTTCCGCTCTTCCTTTCTTGATCTTCCCCTATCTTCTGCTACCAGACATTACGTTCTTTAACTCGCGTCACATACTACTTATATCAATATAAGTAGCACACAGTAATTCAACCTCATTACCTAACAATATTAATGGTAGTGCTGTACGGAAAAGGTAAATCTTATAGTTGTTTTTTTCATGGAAAACCTAATAATATAGAAATAAAAGTCAACCACATACTCAGGTTATTATTAATTAATTTAGCTCATCTTTCAATATATGCTTTAAAAATTCAGTTCTGACTAATCAACGTGAGAAACTACAGTCCCTACTAATTATCAGCATCATTTAACAATTTATAGTTTTAGCTCTTCATATGAGTATAATACAACCACCATACACTTTCATCAACGAGGAGGATATGATAACACAGATGAATATATAGTTTGTGTAATTCTATGCATAAAACTGCACACTACGAATGTGGATCGTTAAATCTTGACTCGATGGTATAAATGAATAGTAATAATCGGGATATCTGAAAGTTCTAATTTTCATTCTGCCTACGGGTGTTGATAGACATCCCTTAAAATTAATAAACTGGAAACCAAGAATCTGTGTTTTGTTCCTCATTTACCAATAGTTCTCTACTTAATGCAAACCCTCAATTAACACTGACTTCGAAAATAGATAACTGAATCCAGGCTAAACGATGTGTTTCTATGTTGTGACTAAAAAGTTCTTATAATATACATTCGTTTGAACTTCAGTGTCATGGTATCGTTTCCTTAGCTAATACCTTTCCTTAAAATTCGTGAATCCTAGAAAACATGACCACTATCAAACTTATTCAGTTGAACTAAACATCCCTGATAATTATTTTTTCAATGATTAAATAATTCGATTCACTTATGGCTTCAGAACAATGTAATTATATGCAGAACCGATGGAATGTTGTTAGCAGTGGAACTTAAGACGCTTGTTTCGTCCTATATGAGACTCGTCAGTTGATATTCGCTCCGAAATTTGAGTCCGGTACCTTTCACTTCGAACACTAACTCGTTCAGATAACCACTCATCTGTGAGAAAGGTATAAGACTAAACCAGTGTCCTAGGTTTCACTGGTAGCTAAATTCGTCAGTTTCATGTAACCTTGTGTCATAGTGGCTATATTGTGGCGATCCACAGATTATGCATTGATGCAAACCAAGAGTGACCAAATTTGAGTCAAAATATCATCAAAGGGATAATCCAAATCGTTTTCAATTAAATTAATTACATATTTGCTCTCACGTATGAATATGGTTGATGAATGAAAAATAAATGACCCAATCCAGTGCATATTTATTTTTAATCATTTCTTTTTTAAAGCCTTGAATTTTACAATTCAAGGAACTAATAGTTCACTAACATGGGATGATGATCTACTGAACACCACTTCAACCACTTATCAAGAACTATCTCGAAATGTTTGTGAACTAGTAAGTAAATTTTATCCTTGGAAATATTAGTAACATTTGGTTTGTTGTGATGACACATTTAAGCGAAAGTACTGTTTCGTTGTCAGTTTTTTTCCCGACACACCAGTCAATTTTTATAAAAAACACTCATCTGACTTTAACTAGACAGTATTTATATATATTTATGATCTATAAAAGGGTTACCAAATATCTAAAATGCATATCAATAGTGTCGATGTACTTCTGTAATAATTTTTGAATTTTAAGTAACCCTAGTTAAATGTTTAGCAATTTTCAGATGTTACTGAAATACAGCACACTAAGTAAATCAGCTTTGATTCTTGTACATGTTGAGTATTTATTTGATGATTACCTATGAAGAATAACGCCCGAATAATTGGCCTAGGTCAAATAAATTACGCAACTCATCTTTATGGAGTATTGCAAAACTTTTAACTTTTATACAAATCATAAACCAACCAATGTTAGACCACCACTCGTCCTACTGCGAGATTCCTGAGCATTTCGCGTCCACAATCATGTGCTCACTAGTGACTGACTTCAAGAGCTAATTTTTGAAGTTCTAGGGGGAATCCATGACCATTGAAGTCCAATCCGTGTCGGGTATGAAGCAGTTATCCCCCGAGGACAATGCAAGACGGTTGTGCAATATCTTGGATTGATTGAGGTTAGACATTAACGTCGTTGGATGACGGCTTAGTGGTCTAGATGTTAAGCGTTTGAGTGATTCCAAAGATCCTGAATCCGGGTCCTTTGTACAGGACATAATAGTATGAATAAACTTGAAGTAACCTTTTAGTAGTGACGCACTATAAAAACTATAGATTTTTATGTTAATTTGTGAAATACAGAATTAGTGGAGAGGCTGTCTAATTTGAGTAGTTTGTTTAAAGGAATTAGTGTTCTCTGCTAAATAGTAATGTCATGATTTATTACTGTTCATAACTCTAAGGTTTGAAGATCTTAGGGCTTTAATTAACACAATTAATACATGTAAAACGAAACAGAAAAACATTTCTCAGTTACATTTACCTTTCATGACAGTGAATCTCAACGAAGCTACATCACTTTGGAGCTCAAAATTTCTATGGATTTGAAGAATATCGGGTGAAAAAAATTGTTTCATTTTTCAGTATTCAGTTATGGAGATTATTAAGTTGTGATCAAGATTATTTGTGACTTTTTACAGATTTACGAATAATTGAAGGGTAAAATAATAGAGCAATTCATCCTTAGCTAAAACAGAATGTAAAATATTCTCATTTTAGTGGTTTTATTCGAGTTCAATACAAAGTTATTTTTAATAAAACTTCTATTTGCAAGAGCCTTGTAAACGCCAATAGAATATCAGACAATGAAATTTTAATCATTATTTTAGAACTATAATTAAATAGTTTACACAAACAATTTTGTTGTGTATAGCAAGAGTGGATCATGGTAAATCTAAAGTCTTTATTTAAACTAAAACTCAATTGAGTTATGAGATTTAGACTCTAGGTGTAGCAATGTATATTTACGTTTAAACGATAAATAGGGATGGAAAATATATTATAATATTGTTAATCAATCTCATCATCATATGATGAGACCACTGATTTTTATTGAGGACTAGTCGTTGGCTCAACTCTAATGATTATTTCACAACCATGAACCGTCATGTGATTCAGTTATTATGGATTAACTACTCTAAACTGTGTATAGAGAGTAAGTGTTGACCATTTGTTTACCTTAAACAATTTGATCCAATATTGTTATTGCTTATTTGTTTTATATTAAGATTTCGTAATATAAATAATGTTATCCCTATTAGTGTTATTATTCTTTGCTACACATTTAACTGAATGAAATAACAATCAACTTATCTATCAGAGTTAACAAAGATCAGCCCAAATCCAAGTGATAAACTGCTATCACAGTCTATTCATCAGTTATTGTCTTTTTATTGAACCTCGAAAGTTTACCAACAAATTACAAACTTGAACAGAATTTCATTGGTGACAGGATAGTTTCTAAATTGAAAAAGTCTTAAAGTGAAATTGTTACAAAGCGTAGCAATAAAGGAATATAATCTATGGAAAGGAGATAAAATAATTAATATCAAGCCATTATTAGTGACATTACTTCACCTTTACGTAATATGACAATTATGAGAACAGTGTTTCTGACTTCAGGCGCATTTAGATTATCTAGGAACACTTAATTTTATATAAATAATTCGATAAGCTATAATTATCGATAATAATTCATTCATATGCAAAGATGGGTAGTGTCTAGTAGCGGAATCCAGTACGCGCGTTTCATCCTATATGGGACTCGTCAACTGGATGTACTTGCATCTGAGTCGATGATCACTCTGATACTCGAACCCAGTACCGTTCGTTCCAAATGCCATCGCGTTATCCACTTAGCTACTGAGTCGTGGCAGCCACTTGCTTGTGAAACGGGGTGAAGTTTAAATTCACTTGATATTGTTTGTTTGAATCTTCCCATTGATGTTTAGGGTGCAATTGACCAGTTTCTTACTGGTATATGTGCATACTGTGCGTATTGCCTTAATTTACAAGCATTATAAACAAAGATGGATAGTGGCTAGCAGTGGAATCCAGAACGTGCGTTTTTTTAGGCGAACGGTACTGGGTTCGAGTCTCAGAGTGAACATCAACTCTGAGATGCAAGTACATTCAGCTGACGAGTCCCAAATAGGATAAATGCGCGTCCTGGATTCCATTGAGAGCCACTATCCATCTTTGCGTATAATGCTTGTAAATTAAGGCAATATCGAGGCAATACGCACAGTATGCACATATGCCAATAAGAGACTGATCAATTTCAGTCCTAAACATCAATGGGAAGATTCAAGTAAAACAATGCCAAGTGAATTAATTAATCCATACATTTTAATAAATATCAGATTACAAAAGTTTTGTCTGTTGACAGAATACGTTTTTATGTTTTAAATGAATCTCTGAACTTAAGATATACATTTTATGAGTGATAATAGACTGAATATTATAGTTTATTACCAATGTGTTGTTCGGTTCCCATTCTTAAGAAATGCCAAATATTTTTTGATTAATCATGAGCCGATCTCTGATTAGCTTACTGTATCAGCTCTTCCTCCTGCAAGAAATACGTTTGACTGTATTAATTAAACAAAGTGATGCGTCAATTAGTGTAGGGTTAGATTCGTCGCCAAATATATGCAAATCTTAACAAATATTTCAATAAACGGTCCATAATTGCAAATTAGATACGATATTCTATATAAGAAGTACAATTTAACACACCTGCGATACGTTATAGTTTCTTATTTGACTTTATCATGAGCCTACATGACAGTTACGGACTAACATAAGTGTGATACTATGTTCAAATCTCTTGGAAAAACTAATTTCACCAGTACATTATAAAGAAATACTATATGAGATATTGGACAAATACTAAACAGGATAAACTCAAGAAGATCCAGACATAACTTCGACTGATAACTCATATATAAGTCAGAAAGCGATACAATGAAATTTCCAGTAGTGAAATTAGTTTCACTGTAAACAATATGATGTTCAGTAAAGCAAATAAAAATAGATCAAGTACATCACCCTCAACTAAATCAATCATTTATTTGTGATCCTTCTGTTACATATGGAATATTTAGTAGATATATTAAAATTATTTAAAATAATTAACAAACTATAATTATTTTCTAAGGAGATTCATACATTTTAAAATAACACTGTGACTACAATGCGTTATTTACACCCAAAAATGTTTTGAAAATAGAAAGATGTAATTGGAATAATCCGATTTCTATTTATCCGTTGATATTTAGTGAACAAGATCACCAGTGGGGACAATCGAATGTGTTTAACACAAAATTACAGAACTTGTTAATAAAATATAACAATCATAAAGTAAATGCTTAATTTGCAAAATGTCCATCAATTGTCTCATAATGACTCAGACTTCATTGTTCTTGCATTTTCACACAAATTGCATTCTATTTCCATTCTTTGCTGTTCGATCCTCTTGTTTCTCTGCTGCCAGACCTTCTGTTCACGACTAATATCATCTACTACTTATGTCAATAGAAGTAGCACACACCACAGATACAATTCATACGGTTTCACTTAAGTTTCTAATATCCGACTTTGTTAAAAAGCAGTATGTATTGTGTATATAATTCAAGAGTTGTTTATTTAATAACTTATAAAGTGCTTCATCAAAATTCTTCAATTTATTGTTTTCTAATTAAAGATTCATTTCTTAGTTTTCATATACTAATACTGAAAAACTTGAGTGATGTAACGAATTTTTCCTGTGAGTCGTTATGGAGATTACAATGAGATACGTCTGATTTGTTGTATTTTAAATAAGTTGTTATTGTTTTTTGTTTTGTAATGGAAATTAATTAATATTAACAGAAAGAATTAAACGAATCAGGCACATCTAGGATTGGGACAAACATTGAAACGTGATATATTTAAGTATTAGTATTAATTTAAGTAAAACTATGTGTTCACTAATGGCAGTTATGTTTTTTTATTACTACAAAAATCGTCCAACCAAAAAAGCAGTCGGTTTTTGATTGATTACTTTTACTAGTTGACGTCTATCAACTTCAGAACGAAGACCTGTAGTAAAACACAGTGTGTTATCGACAGATGTTAAGAATCTTATAATGGTTCCTGGAAAACTGTAAAGTTCGATGATAGAATGTGTTTTTGATATGAAAACACTAGGAAAATCTGTCGATTGTCGGAAGTTGTTCTATCCCAAGCTACTGACAACGAAAAATGTGATATTAACGTCAAAATATGTAAGGTTTGAACCACGTTTATTGTAGGACATATAGGAGTATAATATTACAATGATATTCTTTAGTAGCATCACTGATGATTATTATCTGCCTTGTACACCAGTAAGCTGTCGTTAAAACCCTAAACATTGAAACCAGACTAAGTCTATGTTTAAGTCTACATTTTCTTTGCCTATTAATAGACAATCAAATGGATTTAACCCATTGTCCATTTTTGTCGGTCTCTATAAGGCAACATGCAAATGACAAAGGAAGATTCACTAGATATAAGTTCAATGATTTAAATAAACAAGACACGGAAAAGGAAATTTTACAAATGGAAAAAGCTTTCATATAAATTGTTACGTCAAACTGTTGGAAATAATGTAAACAAACTACATGCTACTTATTTGCATCATGTTAATTACGTGTTCTAGTTCAGAGAAAGAATAAATCCCACTTAAAACGATTAAGTGTGAGTAAAGTCCTCATAAGTGAAAGAAAGTTCTTAATAAATATCTATCCTGCAGATTAAAGTACTCAAAAGAATGTAAAAACTGTTATTTCACAGATATATCTACTGAGAAGTATATTCATTTATTTAATATCGATAAATATTTTTAAATAAAACTTTCAGCTTTTAGCAGCTATGAGATCAATTTTGTCATCTCTATGGATTGTTGAATGTGGTACCATAAAATTCAGAAAAGGGTCCATTGACGTTGATGCTGAGCTTATTTTAATAGCGAATTCATCATCATTTGTTACAACACTTGAACCTACATCAACTGTGTTAAATGATACTAATATAATCAAAGGAATAAATGAGTATGTTTCAACTGTGGATCAAAATAATACATTTGGAATTTACATTGATCCAAATTCAAGTATCTCATTATCATGTAAGTCATTGGAAAAATTTCCAAAAGGTAATATATATATATATATAAGTCTATATTTTTTCAATCGCATTCGAGTTGGCTGCACCCATTTACCTAGATCTGCTATTTTAGATCCTCATAATTTGAAATAATACACTGTATTTTATCTATACTGTGAGGTAAATTATATACGATATTTTAAAATATCATATTACCCTACAAAGGCGATACCTGTTAAAATGAATACATTATAAATAATTAAGGAATAATAATATCTGAGGGGAAATTAGCTTGTTGAATATATCAGCAACTTCTTGAAATTTTGGGAATTTTTGATAATGAGGCTACACTGACCACATGTTGAATTTCTTACCAATTTTTCTGTCAAGTAAATATTCTGTATAATAAAGTAATGATTTGCAGTTGATTATTCTTTTTACATTGTTCTGTCTTACTGCGCTTTACTTTTCTTAGTTTAGTCCTAAAAGCAATAGAAAATATTTAATATTTTTATATTTCGAGAATGTAAACTAAATTTCTAACACTACAGCAAAAAAAAACCCATCAATCAATAAATTAACAAGATCTTACGTTGCTTGCTCTTAGTATATATGCTTTAGAAAGAAGGCGGATTTTATCTCTACCTAAGTTTATGTCAAGGTCTTTGTAAATACTAGTAGATACTTCAAGAACGATCACTATATAGGTCTAGTCATTTGGTCGTATTATCTACAGTTATTGTCAGAACATCATTTCAACATGAAGTGATAACGGAAGCACAAATCTGTTAAATGCATATATAAATTATTTTTGATAGGTGGATGAACTCACTTGTTGTTAACAAACTTAATTAACGGTATATTTGCTTTTTATAAATAATTTCTAAATTCGCGATAACTGATTAACAAATCCTGGAAACATTAGTTGAAGTAGTTAGATATCAATTTAGTCGTTTATTCATCCAGAAAATATTATTTGCGCATAATAATTATTTGTTCTCCTTACACTACATTTTTTGTCGAGGTTAATGTTTGACATCCAGTTATGCTTAAATTAGGTTACTCTTCATAAAATCTACTTATTGATAGACTAAATAGATTAAAATTATTTGAAATAAAGGTCCGTGATTATTCGCACATATACGCTATGGTGAATACTACAATGGATTGCAAATATTTTCTCATTTACTGCAAAAATGGGAGTTACTGAATAAAAATATGTGAGCTATTCCAAAAGACGAGAGTATGATTTTCCCTGAAACATTAGAAAGCAAATCAAATGATACTTAAAATAAGAAGTTATTTAATCGATAAGATTGTGTTATGATACATTATTTCTGAAGCTATATATGAGCTATTTTGTAACAATAAGTATGTTCCCCTGGTTTAGCGATCTCATGAAGGATTGATAATATGCAAATGAAACTAAGAAAAGTTTTGTACAGACAAATGTGAGAAATATGGTTAAACTTCTTTATTCATTTCATTTCACAAACAAAATGAATTGTTGGTAAATTTTAAGAAAGCACCTCAATCCAATGAAATTCCTATTTACTGGTGACAGTTAGCAAACATTTAGATGAGCCATCTAAATAGATTGCATAAGACCGTATTCTTGACTGAAATTTAGTTTTCATCCCTGGTAAACCAAGATATCTGAATTTTCTGTCATTAAGCTAATTTGAAAGAATTTGTGCAAAGCAACTGTTTAGATCAGATCGATCAATCCAAGTGGTGATAGGTTACTCTATTGAGTTTGTATTGACATTATCTCAGTTACCCTCCCTGTAATCTACTGATCTAGATACAGTACATATTGCAAAGTTGAATGAATAATCGTTAGGTAGCCATACCGACTAAATAAGTCAAAGGATTAATCGAAAAAATGTTGACTCTGGGGGTTATTTTAGCACGCTTAGAGCATAACCTATCAGGGGTACATCCAGACTATTTCAACTGAGATAATAATAACTTAAACTACGCAAACTCTGCTTATCCATCTGAGTGAATGACACGTGGAATTGTGGTAAGTATTTTGAAAATTTACAATTCCAAATGAGAAAAACATAACTCAGGAATAATAAACATAATAAATAAATTTCTTTTTATATCCATATGAGTAGAAAAGTTGTAATTCCTACATTTCGTGACTTAATGTAAGCCACTTGTTCAGAGCAAATGAATAACCATATTATGGTTATTTAAACTACTAGGCTGTTCGAACTCATTCAGTCAGAGTTCGGTCAAAGAGAAATGAAATAAACGTTTGGTGTTAAGAATACTTCAATTTAACAACTAAGGAATGTTATTTAAGTTTTTTATTTACTTACTACTTGACATGATATCATGATAGCTTTCATGTGGGTGTTCTTGCAAGTGATATATGGATATGTACATAATCAGTGGTCTTAAATTAACTAACAGTTAAATATAACATTTGTATACCTTTATCTGATTTATTTCTTATATTATCCTGTAACTGTTTACGTTGTTTAGTGATAACGATAAGTATGGAATCAACAATACCGTATGACGATCAGGTTATATCTGATGTCATATCATCTGAAACATCTTCGTCCTCAGATTTCCCAGTTAGTGTGTATTCAACAAGTACAGGTTAGTCATTGTTCATTTAAAATAAATTAATTATTCATAGTAAGCAGTTTATCAGATTAAAGGTTTGATGATTCATGAAATTGAGATCGTTACATAGTAAAAATCAGTACCTGGCTTCTGAAATAAAAAAATATCAAACTCAAATGATGCAAATCAGTTGTCATTCTAATTCTAGGATACAAATCGTTTTTGTTGAAGGTTTAAACTATGACTCGTTGAAAAAGACTAGATTTATATAGAGAAGTAAATCATTACAACATAAAATAAAGAAAGTAATTAGTCTGAACGTATTCAGATCTGAAATAACATCAAATACAACTTACTTACTTACTCACGTCTGTTACCCCTCGTGGAGGAGCATAGACCGCCTATCCGTACTCCCTATCTAAACTTGTCCTATGCAATCCTTTCCAGCTCTTTTCAATTGTTATTCATTCTTTTCATAGCTGTTTCTATTTCCCGACGTAATGTGACATTTGGCCTTCCTATTTTCCGCTTCAGTTTCATGATTCCAACATCAAATATATATTTAAAAATATTAACTATGATAACGATAAAAAATAAATACGCTTAAGAACACAAACGTAAACTTATCAGAAAGTAAAGAAAGAATAAGTGAGAAGTTAAAATAAAGAAGATAACAACAAAAAACATATAGACAATGAGGGAAATAGCAAAAAGTGAAGTACTGGACACAATGAATAACATATTAGATATTGATTAAATATTGATTTTAAAAAATGAAATAATAAAAATCTACAAAATTCAAAAACGTTAAAATTAACTCATTAACAGAATGTTCCTTAACCTCAAAAAAAGGAAGAACAAAAACGGAGGGAGAATAAGAAAACTGTTCGGAAAAATAAGGAAGAAAACAAAACAAAACGGAACAATGAAAAACGAATTGATGAAGCAATCGCGAAGGAGAAAATACTGAAAGAAGTAGTGCAAAAACGAAATAAGCGAGATGAAATTTAAAGTTGAAAATCTTTAATAAAACAAGTAGAATGATTATCGAAACCAAGATAGATACTGATACCACCACAACGATAACAATCTTCACAACATCCACTATTTCCACATTTAAGTTCGTCACCTGGCCAACAGCATCATCGTTAATGACGTCAACACAACCAGTAGTGTGGCTACCACCAGCACTGGAAAATCTACACCCACAATGTCAACACATATCAGCACGACTAACATTGCTTTTACCAGTGCAGTCACATTGACCACACCGTTCATTGGATCCACAATACCAAAGGAGATAATCTTCATCGCTGATCAACATATTCCAAGTATGCTGTAACTTGTCATTCCATCTGTTTTTGTATTTACGTCCACGTCTACAATGCACATTTTTTATTCTACTGACGTGGTTCATAGTTCCGTTCTTTTGATTTCTCATACGTATTTATTTGCTGACTTCGATATTTTCTCGCCGCTTTGTTTTGATGTCTCATCAGTTGATGATTCCTCATTTTCGGGCTCTGTCTTCTCCTATCTTATTCTTAGAGAGTTTCTAGTATAATTTTTATACCTACTATTAACATTGCTAGACCTTTTATTAATCATTTCATTTTGTTTATTTTTCAGGCGATGTTTCTCCATATGATTCAGGTATGTTTAATATTTTTGCTAGTTTGGTTCTTAGTCTAAATCTCCTTTATATTTTCACAGAATATCTTTTTACTTCACTTTGATCATTTCTACTATTCTCGATAATTTTTTTGAGTTTACTAATTAATCTCATACTGAATATAGCGCCTAAATTTTGTAACTAATATATCATTTTGCTTTATTAAGGTAACCTACATTCTTTTAGCGAAAAACCAGCACTTGTGAATATCAAATCAGTATTATTTTCCTGTGTTAAGTTGACCTGGTTGTTGTTTCTTTGTTATCTTAACGGCAAATGACAAGTTTGCAAAAGATGCTTGATTATAGCACTTCTTATTGTTGATGTATAAATGGAGTAATTTATGCCGAAAGCAGCTTCTATCGCGCAAGAAACTTTCTGGAGTTATTAAGTCTGCAGTTCGTCAAGTACTTTGTGAAACATTTTTTCTCCTCATACCTCAGAACCTCCATATTCAGTATGAAGTCAGCAACTGAAAATTTATATTAATGATTAGTTATTATATTTTAGTAATAATCAGGCAATTAAAGGAAAAGTTCCTCAGAATAATTACTCAAATGTTGGAGCCAACCTCAATTCTATCGCGTGAGATCGCACGTTTTACTCTATCAAATTAAGTGAAACATTCACCATATGTTTACTATAAGTGAAGATTTATTCATTCAGGCCAGAAAAAAGTTTTACTGAGAAACTAATGATGAAGAAATGGCAGTCAGACATCATGAGATGTTAAAATATGGTCTGTAGAAGGGAGAAATATATATGGAGTATAAATGACGCTCTTCGTAACTTTCATAATACTTTTAACGTACTTTTATAGAAATTGTGTATACTTTCTACTTATATATCTAATTTAAACTTCGTTATTAAAAGAGGAGTATGGTAAAATGTTAAACCATAAAACAATAAAATACTTTTTAAATTAGGGTGGATGAAAACTTATAATCGATTAATTGTTCAATGGACATTAGGTCATAGAGTAGCATAATATATTTCATACCTAAGTTCAATACACTCTTAGTCTAAGTTTCATTGAGTTTCAGTCATCAGATGAACTCACTGAGAGTAATCAAAAACAGGTAAAACAAATTTAGGTTTGTCTACCAGCAAGTGATTCTCCATTACGCAATAGTTTTGAAAATTTTATGTGGTTTGCTTCAGGTGTTACCATTAACATAATTATTTCTTTAATTTTATTGATCTCGGGAATCGAATTCTTTCAATACATCAGATTGTACCAATATCATATCGCAAATTGTGCCACGACACATTTGCTGCAAGGTTTTGGTTGATGATGATTGACTGACAAGGTGATCTAATCTAGTTTATTACACCGTCATATAATAATGAAGAGACACATTAATGTGATGACAAACTGGCTAGTGAAATATGTTTAATTTAGGTCGTATACAGAAATATGTTGAATGCAAAGGCGAATCTACAGAAGCGATTAGAAAATTGGAAATCATTAGAAACAGACCTGATGTGAGCAGTAGATTATGTGAAGTGACCTGATTGAGGCATTCAGTGATTTAACCTTCTATTCACTCCAAATTGTTTACTCCTGAATTCACGTTTTCATCATTTGTGTGCTTATCTAAATTCAAGTTGCTTTCTCCAATGTTTTGTGTTTGTGTTTCTGCTTGTCTATCTGCATTGCATGTAACCAAACTCCATGTGTTCTTTTAATGAAAATTTTCTTCGTTATCTACTTAAATGTTTTATAGAAGGCAACCTCACGAAAACAGTAGTAATCGGTAAGTCAAAATATGATATAGCAGTTTGTTTTGTCACACCAATTTATTTTCCTTACTGATTGTTTTGATTCTGCTTTCCATTTCATTCATCAATATGTGGTCACATTGCATTACATAAACGGTTGGGTGAATTGTTCCTCTTGGAAATTCAGTTTAGCGAAGAGATGTCACATATAGTACGCTCATATATTGAAATTATTTGTCAATCAGTATTTATTGTTGAGTTTCTCAGGGTCGTCTGGTCGCGTTGGCCACTATCTATGTTAAACCGGAATGATTCATAATCTTTCCAAGTGGAACAATTTAATTGTATTCGTATAAAAGCTAACAAGTACTGAAATTTACTGTAACTGTGGAAGTCACGTTATATTTGTTTGCTGAGCGTCACTTCACTCACAATATTGTTACACTTATTAACCAATGTGTGTGGGTAGACATTACTACTTGGTGTAGAATTCTTTATTTTCATAACAAACCAAGAGCATATAGCATTCAGTGTGCATGGATGTGGGAAATCAAACAACCATTTACTTCATAGTGTCCATCACTTTGATAGATCATAATCGAATACACTTGGATTTGTGGTGTGGAGTTGAAGAGAGGTCGTTCAGTTTTGTTTTGTTGTGCAACAGTAAGTCAACTCAATATTCTCCTTTCACTGAGAAGTCGGATTTAAATCAACGAACTTTGACTTGTTGGAAACTATTTAATTTCTTTTGTAGCAGTCTCATCAATGCTGACTAGATTGAACAAGTCTTTGGAGTGGAATGACAGTTTATTGGATCCTAGTTCCGATTTATATCGAAATTATTCAGCTGAAATTTGTAATTTGGTAAGTTTGTTACCGAGTTCTCAATTGAATTTACATAAAAATCAGGAAAACTGATTAAATGTATAGACAACCTGTGTCTTTTGATAAAGGGTTGAAGTTTGACATTTGAAGACGGTTTTTGGAAATATATGTAGCTATTTAATAGCTATTTATAGAAGACAGAGTACTATTTAACTGTTTTCTCCAACTGTGACGAATAGTACCTGTAGAAATTCAAGATGTTGTTTGGGTAGATTCCATGATCATTGTTTTATGCAATTATGGATTTAACTCGTCATGGTTAATGGTGTCCGTTCTTCACCATTTACCATGTAGATCATATCTCGTTTTACTCTACACAAACTGATGCAGTCTCAAAACACTCTATGGTCTCCAATCACTATATTGTTGCAATCAAATGAAGGCGAATGTGCTTGTTTCGTTTGATTATGCATAGCATAATTACCAGAAGTGGTCAACATGCACGGGCACGATCCTGTAATGGATCAGTCGTTTTGATATTGTAAGTAGTGACAACTGAGGTTACCCAGTCGATAAATATATTTGCTAATCCACGAGTTTGGAAAACCAATTTGTTCTCCTTCCACGTGAATGTAAAACTTCGGTGCTATAAAACTCCACCAAACTACTTGTTCGACATTCATACAACAATGATTTATGCCGATGAGCTAACTTCATCTAACCTAACATGAATGGCACCATGGGATAGCCTGACTGAGCTAAGTGGCAATATAGCACCATCTGCCTGATGTTATACATTGTGATGTCGCATTAACTATCAACTGCGACTAACTCATTTATTCATTCATTACTGACTATTCCATTGAAAAGCCACCGCTCACATTTCTGTGGCTTGAGATGCTGATTGATATCATGTGCTAAGGTTACCAATCGGAATTCTAACTCTAATTTCCTTTCCATTTTGTGTTTACTATTTCCTCCATGACCCAGTGTCCAAATAATGACCAACCACTGGCATGACCCTCACCGTCCACCTTGTGGCGATGCAAGCCAAGCTCCTATTTTTCCGCTACTCGTAAGTCCTTCTTTGCCTTCAAACTTGAGTCAAAGAGAGAAGTCAACAGACGGCCTCTATCATTCTTATACTTCAGGCATACGTGGACTCATATACAGTCGTGCTGGACCACATCGCACCACTGAGTGAAAAATCACAAGCATACATAGACAAGCCGAAAGTGTTTGTGACTAATGCAAGCCGTAAGTAGTAGACTGGCAAGAATCTGGGAGTGGAGAGTTGTCTATCAGTGGTTAACGGGTTAACCAAAAGCTTGTGGTTAACGTATTATATAGACACAGTAATCCAGTTGCTTAGTAATTATATAAGAAAAACATAGTTGATAGCAATAACAATATTCATGATAACAATTCAAAAACCATTTTCCAAATTTCCAACTTTTACAATATTCATCCCGTTATAACACGCACGATTTTCTTCTCACAAAATCTTCAAGCTTTTGGACAGCATATATTCAACTTATATTGAGGGAATAATCAATGTTAATTGCACAGTTGTTGGCTTCTCGCGTGGATCAGTTGTTGGAAATGCAGTATTAGTCATCGACCATAGTAGCACAAGTGGGAATTTCTCATCGACTGAAGTGACAAAAGACACTGTTCGAAATGCTGTTGTGGCATACATAGCAGAAATGGTTGCCAATGGGTCGGAGCAAGTGTACTTCGATACATCAAGTGGCTTGACAGTAGAAAGTGAGTGTATGTGATATTTTCGAGCTATATTGAAATTGAATTTTGTGTTTAACGTCGGTCGAATAAACCAGTTTATCCTGCGAGTTGAGCGCCACGTTCTCAATGCATCTTGGAAGTTGATGATAGGGGAATCCGACACCGGAAGCGAACGTTGTAGGATTCAACTGATTATTTCTCACGTTAAATATCACCTGCATAACAATTAGCATGCATGTATGATGTGATCATCTATTAGATGCTCTTAATTTTAGTTCATGAAACTGTTTGGTCCTATTTCAAATTTGTTGTTCTAGAGAGACAATAGAAATCTGTCTTATCCTCAGTCACTTGTATAGGACCTTTAGATATATGCTGTTTGATATAGAATTCCGTTTACATTTTAAAGAGTCTTACAGTTGGTGAGATCACAACACACGACGAAATGGAATGTTCAGTGTTCGATCAACGAGGAAGTGGAATTGTTCACAAGTTTGAAAAACAACTCCATCACTTGCAAACCATCTGCAGCGAAAGTGTCTCGACTTCATTTACTGTCAAATACCTAGTCGCCTGCTATGGCTAGCAGCTAATCATAATCAGGATTAATTGTCATGCATACTCAGCTTTTTGTGATGTGAATAGATACACGTTTCTCATTGTATTTTCAGCTGTAATCCATGTGGCAACCACTGAGGTGATCACTGAATCTCAGAATACCGAGGATAACAAGACTACGGGTAAGTAAGTGGTTTGCAATTTTTTCACTGAGTCGATAATATACGCGAGAACTTATGTCTTAAGATTGCAAATTGTACGAGTAAAATACTCTGAATATTCACTTTTGTGAGGTGATTCTTCGACCAGTAATTTTGACTGAAGTATTATTGAGATAATCTTCCTCAGATAAAAGAATATGGAGTGACAGTAAATTAGTTAGAAAAATCCAAAATATCATATATCAGTATTCGCGACAACGCAGAAATGTTTGAAGTATGTGTAAGGTCCCCATATGACATAAAATTAAAGATGTCACGAGTAATCATGGTGTCGGAATGTAAGGCAGTACATTTAAAAAAGTAGATAAGAACGATTGATAAATCGAATAGTTATATTAAGAACGAATTAAGATGATGTGTATGTATGAAAACACATAGTGAAAGCAGCGAGTTATGCTTCACGTGGAAGAAATTAACAAACGCTAAATTACTTCAAGTAGATAAACGACATTTCGGGCAGTAATGGAAATTCATCCATAATCAAGTTCGCGTTCCTCATTATCTGCTTTTATGTCGAAAGTACAAGGAGATTGCTTCAAATGTAAAATCAGAAATAGTGAGGATCAACAACCAAAGAATAAAAACAAATGGTAAATAGTAGAACAATCACTGAATTTTTTTTTATTATTTTTTTATTATTATTAGCTTTATTCAATATTATATTATTGGTACAATATAGAATTCTCAGCACAAAGTATTTCAACAAGTTTCCGTTTCTTTCTTCTTGGTCGGTCCTCGCGATTAATACTGAGTGATCGCCAACTAGATGTTAACAGTCCAGTAAATGAATACCTGAATAATGTACATTCTTTTCGTTGTATATTGCCAGCAACAATATTCTCTCTTTTTGAGATTTTTGTAACTTTGACAACAAAAGGTTGTACACTTTTCAGAAACGCAGTAGAATAGGTTGTACGATTAATAGACATAATGATATATTAAAACAAACAAAGATAGATAACTTGTCGAAATATCTAGATGGCAGGAACAGGTAGCCCAGATGAAAATGTGACCGTGTGATTTACATGTAAGGAAGAAACTGCAGATAGAAACATCGAGAGAAAATGAAGTTCGAAAAACCGCTGAACTATTTTGAAAACATTAACAATTCTGAAGGTGAATAAAAGTGTACTGAATTCAAAGACACAAAAATTTGGGAAAACACAGAAAGAAGAAAACAGAAACATGAAAGAAAACAACTGACAAATCAGAGAAAAATTAAAACAAGAAAAAGAGCGAAAGCACAGCAAAACAAAAAAGATAAAAATAAACAAATCACAAAAGACAAGAAACTACGTATTCGTGAAAATGTCGTTCCAAAGAATTAATGTATGAACGTATGGAGTTATGATTCAAAGATGGAGTGATTGATGGATTGATTAACGTAATGATAGAATGATGGATTGATTGATTGAATGATTGATTATTGGTGTTGGATTTCGTCCATTGTAGCTGAGACCACTACTGGCACGAACGAAGTGACGACGGAGACCGAGATTACGGAGACCGACACTACGGGAACTGAGGTTATGTTGACGGAGAGTACAACAGGTGAGTGTGTTAGTTGATTGTGTGTATGCAATGTACGCAGTGTTGTTTGTGTGAGATGTGTTCGAGTTAGTTGTGCACAGAACTGATACTAGTGGTGATTTGGTGGATTGCATGTAGTGCACTCGATTGGATGGATGTGAAGTAATTTGTGTTCGTGTGTGTGTGTGTGTGAGTGAGTGTGGGATAGTCTGATTTAATGATTGGTTGATTGATTGACTGATTGAATCAGTGAGTGAGTGAGTGAGTGAGTGAGTGATTGAGTGTGTTTGGGAAGGAGAGTTTGAGATATTGTTTGAGTGTGAGTGTGTGTGTGTGTGTGTCTGTGTGTCTGTGAGTGATAATGTGTGTTGTGTTGACTTAGTAGTTGGACAAGTGGATTGAATTGTTGATGGAGAGAATGCATGGGAGACTGATTGGATGAATGTTTTGATGAGTGGTTGTGCGAGTGTTTGTACGAGTGTTTGTAGGAGTTGTTGGACGAATGTTTGGATTGTTGAAGGTTTAATGTATTTGACAGATTGATCGATGGATTGATTGATTTGTTGATTTGTTGATTTATTGAATGATCGACTGATTGATTGAAGGACTGATGTGATGATTGATTGATGGATTAATTGATTGATTGATTGATGGATTGATTGATTGATTGATTGATTGATTAATTATTGGTGTTGGATTTCGTCCATTGTAGCTGAGACCACTACTGGCACGAACGAAGTGACGACGGAGACCGAGATTACGGAGACCGACACTACGGGAACTGAGGTTATGTTGACGGAGAGTACAACAGGTGAGTGTGTTAGTTGATTGTGTGTATGCAATGTACGCAGTGTTGTTTGTGTGAGATGTGTTTGAGTTAGTTGTGCACAGAACTGATACTAGTGGTGATTTGGTGGATTGCATGTAGTGCACTCGATTGGATGGATGTGAAGTAATTTGTGTTCGTGTGTGTGTGTGTGAGTGAGTGAGTGTGGGATTGTCTGATTTATTGATTGGTTGATTGATTGACTGATTGAGTCAGTGAGTGCGTGAGTGACTGTGTGAGTGAGTGATTGAGTGTGTTTGAGAAGGATAGTTTGAGATGTTGTTTGAGTGTGTGTGTGTGTGTGTCTGTGAGTGATAATGTGTGTTGTGTTGACTTAGTAGTTGGACAAGTGGATTGAATTGTTGATGGAGAGAATGCATGGGAGACTGATTGGATGAATGTTTTGATGAGTGGTTGTGCGAGTGTTTGTACGAGTGTTTGTAGGAGTGGTTGGACGAATGTTTGGATTGTTGAAGGTTTAATGTATTTGACAGATTGATCGATGGATTGATTGATTTGTTGATTTGTTGATTTATTGAATGATCGACTGATTGATTGAAGGACTGATGTGATGATTGATTGATGGATTGATTGATTGATTGATTGATTGATTAATTATTGGTGTTGGATTTCGTCCATTGTAGCTGAGACCACTACTGGCACGAACGAAGTGACGACGGAGACCGAGATTACGGAGACCGACACTACGGGAACTGAGGTTATGTTGACGGAGAGTACAACAGGTGAGTGTGTTAGTTGATTGTGTGTATGCAATGTACGCAGTGTTGTTTGTGTGAGATGTGTTTGAGTTAGTTGTGCACAGAACTGATACTAGTGGTGATTTGGTGGATTGCATGTAGTGCACTCGAATGGATGGATGTGAAGTAATTAGTGTTCGTGTGTGTGTCTGTGAGTGAGTGTGGGATTGTCTGATTTATTGATTGGTTGATTGATTGACTGATTGAGTCAGTGTGTGCGTGAGTGAGTGAGTGAGTTAGTGATTGAATGTGTTTGAGAAGGATAGTTTGAGATGTTGTTTGAGTGTGTGTGTGTGTGTGTGCGTCCGTGAGTGATAATGTGTGTTGTGTTGACTTAGTAGTTGGACAAGTGGATTGAATTGTTGATGGAGAGAATGCATGGGAGACTGATTGGATGAATGTTTTGATGAGTGGTTGTGCGAGTGTTTGTACGAGTGTTTGTAGGAGTTGTTGGACGAATGTTTGGATTGTTGAAGGTTTAATGTATTTGACAGATTGATCGATGGATTGATTGATTTGTTGATTTGTTGATTTATTGAATGATCGACTGATTGATTGAAGGACTGATGTGATGATTGATTGATGGATTAATTGATTGATGGATTGATTGATTGATTGATTGCTTGATGGATTGATTGATTGATTGATTGATTAATTAATTATTGGTGTTGGATTTCGTCCATTGTAGCTGAGACCACTACTGGCACGAACGAAGTGACGACGGAGACCGAGATTACGGAGACCGACACTACGGGAACTGAGGTTATGTTGACGGAGAGTACAACAGGTGAGTGTGTTAGTTGATTGTGTGTATGCAATGTACGCAGTGTTGTTTGTGTGAGATGTGTTTGAGTTAGTTGTGCACAGAACTGATACTAGTGGTGATTTGGTGGATTGCATGTAGTGCACTCGATTGGATGGATGTGAAGTAATTTGTGTTCGTGTGTGTGTGTGTGTGAGTGAGTGTGGGATTGTCTGATTTATTGATTGGTTGATTGATTGACTGATTGAGTCAGTGAGTGCGTGAGTGAGTGAGTTGGTGAATGAGTGATTGAGAGTGTCTGAGAAGGATGGTTTGTGATGTTGTTTGAGTGTGTGTGTGTGTGTCTGTGAGTGATAATGTGTGTTGTGTTGACTTAGTATTTGGACTAGTGGATTGAATTGTTGATGGAGAGAATGCATGGGAGACTGATTGGATGAATGTTTTGATGAGTGGTTGTGCGAGTGTTTGTACGAGTGTTTGTAGGAGTTGTTGGACGAATGTTTGGATTGTTGAAGGTTTAATGTATTTGACAGATTGATCGATGGATTGATTGATTTGTTGATTTGTTGATTTATTGAATGATCGACTGATTGATTGAAGGACTGATGTGATGATTGATTGATGGATTAATTGATTGATTGATGGATTGATTGATGGATTGATTGATTGATTGATTAATTATTGGTGTTGGATTTCGTCCATTGTAGCTGAGACCACTACTGGCACGAACGAAGTGACGACGGAGACCGAGATTACGGAGACCGACACTACGGGAACTGAGGTTATGTTGACGGAGAGTACAACAGGTGAGTGTGTTAGTTGATTGTGTGTATGCAATGTACGCAGTGTTGTTTGTGTGAGATGTGTTTGAGTTAGTTGTGCACAGAACTGATACTAGTGGTGATTTGGTGGATTGCATGTAGTGCACTCGATTGGATGGATGTGAAGTAATTTGTGTTCGTGTGTGTGTGTGTGAGTGAGTGAGTGTGGGATAGTCTGATTTATTGATTGGTTGATTGATTGACTGATTGAGTCAGTGTGTGCGTGAGTGAGTGAGTGAGTGAGTGATTGAATGTTTTTGAGA